ATCCTCGCCGCGCAGCGACTTATCGGTTTTTCGGACACTTTCGTGCGCATCATCGCAGCACTGCACACCTGCACAAGGATCCGATTCATTGTGACAGCTACGTGTCAAAGTTGCTGGACGTCATGTGTGGCATACAACGGGATGCTTGTTGGCACCTTTGCTGTTCCTCTTGGCAGCGGAGCCGCTCTATGAGCAGCTCGGGAGCACTCGACGGGATCTCCGGACCTTTAAAAAGTCGGCAGTGATGGTGACAAAGGTCTGCGGGTACGTCGACGACACGGCTGTCTATGCCCGGTCCCCAGAGGACGTGGTCGAGGTCATGCAGGCTCTGGCGCGATTTGGAGTCGCTTCTGGGCTGAAGACTGATGCCGCGAAGTCTGTGGCTGTGCCGCTTTGTGACGGTGTAGCCATCGACCCGGATCTGCTGCACGGCATTCGACTGCTGCAAGCTGGCGAGCGGTACCGTTATCAAGGCGTTCTGCTTTGAGAGCGGAGTACAGTCAAGGACCTCTGGGACGCGTGTCTCTTCGCGCTGAACTCCCAGCTAGCGCTGGCCCGAAGGAAGACCAACATGGTCCGGAGCCGAGCTGCTCTGGAGGCAGTGATAGGCATCCCCAATGTCACTTTCCTCGCACGACACTCGTGGCCGACCCGTGAGATCGTGTCTTCGCTGCAGAAGCTGGTCAAACGTTTTGTCTGGGGCTCGACAGAAGACGAGCTAACCCGGGCATGATTATGCGACGGGCAGGCGGGTCTGCGCGTGTGCTAAGAGAAACCCGCTGTGCCGTACGCAATGGAATTGCTAGCGATAGCCGCCACTGCAGTTGGCAGGTGGGCAGCCGGCGCGATCAGTCCGGCGCAGATCGCGGGCGACTTCCTACTGGCAGAGCGATCAGGCGTCGAGGTGTACCTGAGTTTGGCGCGGCGGGACGCGCCTGTGGGAAGCTTCACGGTCGCGGACAACATGTGACATAGTGGGGAGGCAGTGGTGCGCGGAGTGCACAGCGTTCCGATCGACTCTATGGATGCCGACTATGGCCATGCCGACTATGTAGCCGCAACGGAGTCGCTGCTTCGTCGGCATTGGAGTCGCTACTCCGGCTGCATCAATACGCTGCTACCTGAGAGACGAATGTATGCCCGTCGACGTCGAAAGTAATTCTATGCGCTCACTCACACAGGTGTTGAGAGGGAGACGACGCGTGCGTGGGCCGTTCTGCCGCGAGTGGCTCGACCGCGTGGGACTCGACACGCGGCATCCCTGATCGACATCAGTGGGACGCCTGTGAACATCAGTCTGCTGCGACGTGGCGACAAGTGGGGCACGCATCGCGACCTCCTCAGCTGCACGTGGATACGGAATGGCGTAATAAAGCTCGAACTGCGGCGGTCCAGCACCCCGGCGGTGCGACGGGCGGTGTCGAATCCGTGCAAGGTGATGGTGTGCAACTATCTCGAGCTCCTACGCCATCTGCACACGACGATACACCTGCGGCTTATCGGCGCAGGCGAGTTGATGCTCTACTCGTGACGCCTAACGGTCAGCTCAGACGGCGTCTTCTCGGACGCCACGATCGATTGTCCAGCACCACGGTCGAATCGCGCTACGACTGCAAACGACGAGCCCGAGCGGACGTCGGCAACAAGGACATTCATTTCACGACCACCCGGCACTGTTGCGGCTCGAGCAGCTGTTCATGCGCGAGGAGTGGCAACCTAAGTGGACGAGGTAAAAGGCGGCCGCGGCGATGCAGCGCGCGACGGAAGTCAAGCACGAGTGCGACTGGGCGATCGCTATGCAAGCCTTCAACAACAGCGGCCAAGAAAGTGCGGCAGCGCAGCTCCAATTGAGTGACATCCGCGCGGTGACGGGATCGAGCGCCCCCACGATGCAGACGGTATCCATAATCAAGACAAACAATCTCAAGTTGTGGAACTACGTGCACAGCGATTGATCGTGACCGAACAGCGCGAATTGGGGCGACGAGCCCGCTAAACTCCAGCACGTCTTCTTGGAGTGCCCGGTACCGACGGCGGCGTGGGCAGCTTTGGGACCCGATGGCGGCGACTCGGCTTCACGAGCTGGAAGTGGATCAGTCTACGCCGCAGGCAGTGGTAAGCGCTACGGTCGACAACGCGTTGCTCGACTTTGTGTCCCTGACGTAAGAGCACGAGAAGGACGAACAAGCGGCTTCAATGAGGGCCGTAACGGGTGCACTAGCTGCGTGCTCCACGGAGTAAACTGCGGACTCCGTTTGGATGACGCCGATTCGCAGTCGGAGCCTTCATCTGCTCTTCTTCGATGGCGGCTCACGTGACAAGCTGGGACCAAGAGGCTCCGATTCGTGCATAGTGCGCGTCGACACGTGCACGCACTCGGTGGAGATTATCTGGGCGGCGAGCATGTCGTACGCTCGGGCAGACACGACCAACAACAAGGCGGAGTACTAGGGGCTTATCCACGGGCTCTGTCGAGCTGAAGCCTACCAACGTATTCCACTGCATGTGGTAGGAGACATTGCCATGATCATTTAGCAGATGCGGCTGCACCGACCGCCGCGCCACCACCGATTTGACCACTCTACTTGAAGGCGAGGCGGTGTGCGAACGGATTTGGTATGTGCAGCTATACGCACCACTACCGCGCACACAAATCGATGGCGGACAGGACTACGAACGACGCGATGGACTGGCGAGCGTCGCAGCAGACGTTTGACCATGAGAACCGTCCACTCAAAGCGGGACTGGAAAAGCACCTGCACAGCGACGTGCAGCAGTGGCTGAATTTGACGGCAGCTCGTGGCCCGAGCCTGCGCATCTCCATTGCAAAATGGGCAGGTTGACCCCAGCTGGAGCGAAGAAGACTGACCCCCTTGTTTGGCGGTGCAAGCCCATACATAACTAAGCCTTTAGACATCTGTCAAGTACCTCAATGAAGCTCACTCACTTACTATGATTGAGGGGAACTGAACTTTATTTTGTTTCGACACAATAGGAATACCATAGACAAAATGTACTTAATCTGGACACTAATGCTCTCATTAGTCCCTTTCAGAAGATCTTGTATTTGGTGGCTGACACACGTCAACCCCATGATACTGCTAAGGTGTTCTAATATCACTTTCAATGGGTGTTCATTTCTGGTGCAAACCACACGTGATATACCGGTCATCAACCGACGTGGCGTCCCCGTGACAAGTGCCATACCGTGATTGATTAATGTCCTTGAGGGAGTCAGCGTCGCAAGGTACGACAGCCGAAGTTCTTAACTAATGGCCGATTGCAACCTTACGCGGTAAACTAGACAATAGCGACATCGCGCAGTCAGGCCCACGCACACCAAATGTATCGATGACCCAAGTATGGTCTGCACGGTATGATGATGAAGGCCATGTTTATGTGCGCCCCGCCAAGTTGAGGGATCGCGTCAAGTGATACGCTAGCTCCCGCTCTGGGCCTATATGGATCTGCTTTGACCGTGAACAAAGTAAAGGTACCCATGAAGCTCGGTGGCACCGGCGTGACAACGATCTTGGCCATAAACGGCCATCTAGGGTGCCCGTTTCATCAGGTCGAGTGTCTTTCCTTCTATAACTAGTGATATGGTCTCAGCCAAGCCTGCAGTAGGCTGTATTGTATGCTTTATTGAGTCTGAGGAACACCACGTGCTTGTGCTGACACCATGTGACATTGTTGTCGACGTAAAAAAGGTCGACTCTCCACGCCACACCGCGTGACGCATAGTCACCACTTCTACGCTCCTTGCAAGTTCCCACAACTGTGTCACGCAGACCACGAACGTATCGTTTCCAGTGATTGCTGAGGCCATATATCTCCTCTACGAGCTTCTTAGTGAGCCCGTACGAAATCGCAGCATGTGTAGTGAGAAGCACGTCGCGTTGAAATGTACGATACGCCAACGCTGTCTACACGGCCTCCAGAGCGTTTTCCTCAGTTCGTCAGCATCCGGCGTTTTGGACAGCGGGGAATCGTACGGATCGTCAGAATGACTTCAAAGTGGGCAAAACCCGGCATACGCGTCATTCCGCTCAATCGATAAGTACCGTCGCGCCACAATGGAATCTGTATCACGAGCTACTGCGATGTTGTTCTACACTAACTCTTGTTGGCGAGAGCACTACCGCAGTTCATCCTACACCGCAACATCCGTTGTTGCGCTGATCGACGAGCTTCGTCTTCCATTTATTTTTGTTCTTGTTGACTTGACCGGCAGCTATCTACATCTGCGATGCGTTCCAGCACCGGTCTGTACATGTCTTTCACTAGTTCTGCAGTCCTTAGTAGGTGCCTGCTTTGCACGCGAGAAAGGTACACTGCTTCGCTAGCAAGCTGTGTGTCATTGCAAGCTCAATACCGAGTTCTGCACGCTACATACGTACTACAGCCCACGACACATTGCGTTGCGTCCCGGAGTTTCCTTGCGTCTGTCAGCTAACTGGATCACGCGCATTTGTACCCATACCATATTGTCAGCCGGTCCATTGACGTGGACTCCTTATGTCTCTACGACTACATGACTCGCTCATGGATTGTGAGAAGGTGCGCTTCTCTCGTAATGCATACATACCATTGTCGTCTAGAGCACTCGCTGTTGAATCACCTCTGTATCGCCTCTTGTAAATGATGTGTGGCTGTAGCACCTTGCGCGATGATGCAAGTGATAGACGAGCTAGGAAAGAATGCAATTGATTCGCAGTGAATGGGCTCAGATACGATGACTGGCAAAAGGGCGAGCTTTGCTGTCGCACTTTGCTGCCATGACGTGTGATCCAGCCACGACAGCATGATGATGTCTTACGGCCGGCGAAGTAGCGAAGCGATGACGGTCAGGACCAGATAGTTGACAGGTTGGAGCACAACAACTTTGTTGTCGACGCGCTGCAGAGAATGGGAGACACCTGGAATAACGCGCTACTGAGAATGGGAGACACGTGAAACAAAGCGCTGCTGAGAACGGAAGACACGTGTATTAACGCGCGTTACAGCTTCTCGCTATTTGAACGCAAAACGTTTGCCTTCTGTGTTGAAAAAATCCACTGAACTGTTTCCATTCCAACGGCATCCACGGCTTCCCAGAACTCTTTGTTGAATACCATCCAGTGGTGTTCAAGTGTCAGGAAATGCCATTGGTTGTGGAGGAACTTACGGTACAGGTGCATCTGTGCAAGTGCAGCCTCGTGGCCCTCTGTGAAAAATACCTCCTTGTACATGTCAATCGGCCTTGTCCCCTTGTCCATCGCCAACTTGAAGATCGAAGCAGAGTGTAGGATGAACCGTGCCTCGGCCGCGGAGACATCATGTAGATGCCCCATTGACAGTAGGTACGTCTCCTCATTAGCCATCTTCTTGAAAAGCTTGATCAGCTCGTCTCTCGGGGGAGGACTGCCGGGTTCGATCTTTTTAACGGTTGTGGCAAGCTCATTGAACAAATTCTCGAAATGCGTAAGTGCTCTTTCTTCACCTTTCTGCTCGTGCACGCGTCCGACATGAGAGCTGTTGGCAGGATGCAACACCCCTTTGCTCGCGCCTTGCACGTCTTTTGCTGCGGGCTCCAGTTGTCGAGCTGGCACCGCATCACTTTGTGAAGCCAATGCAAGTGCATCTCTGATCGAGAGGGTGAGAAGTAAGCTCATGAGCACGCCGAGCATCACGTGTGTCAGGTGCATGACTGCTTACTCCTATCCCGCTCTCGAAGTGAGGGTCGTGCTGATGCGTGCGTTGCGAATGAACAAGTGCGAAGGTGGACTTTTGTTCGCGTCTGGTTTCTTTTCTATGACGGTATGGACCGGTACCTCAACAAATCCTTCTGCATGAACAGATGACAGCGAGGCGCAACGCCCCACTCATACACGGATACAGCTCACGCCAGGTCACAAGACTGTCGCACTTCAAAATCTTAGGAGCTTCTGGAATGAACACACGTACGATCATGTGACATGACATGACACACACATTCCCAAATTTTCACGGTTCAGCTCAAGCCAGTCTTTTTCCCTCCGGGGCAGTCACGTCGGAGGGAATCCTCCCCTTGGGGAGCCGACGGGGTCGAAGATCTGACGCGGGCGCGCTGCACTCGCAGTCGAGGGTGTGGGCGTAGGGGACCGACGGGTCGCGCAAGCGGCCTAGCAGGGGTGTTTATCGGACTGGAGGCGTACCCCGCGCCACGTGTCGCCGCTGCGGCGAGCGCACACTCCACGTCCAAGGGCCGCGTAAGCGGCTGCAGGCGGCCACCATCGCAGATGGGTGAGCTCCTCGGAGAGATAACGGCGGGTTGGCGTTTCTCCACGCCATGCAGTCACTTCGGTGATCGCACTCCACGTCGGGGGCCGTGCAAGCGGCTGCAGGGGGCCATCATCGCAGATGGGTGAGGTTGGAGAGTCTCTATTCTAGAACCAAGCCACGATGAGTCTCCGGGTCTCCCGGCGCTAACTTCTGGCTTAGCAAACTGCAGAGGTTATAGCACATAGTTAACACCGTGCCAATAGACCATCTGGACAACAACAACGATCATGTGACATGACAAGAAACAGAACACAGGAAAGGTCTGCCTACGTCCGCGCTACTGATCTGCTGCAGTCGGAGCTTAATTGAAGAGCCAGCCGAAAATCAGCGTGACCCATTATGACCTTCTGCCTGTAGCAGATCGGGAACGTCTCTCACCAATCGTCTACAACCCATGGGCCAAAGCAGCCGATTTCTGAGCGGAGTGGGAACTGACGGGCGCAGAGGGGGTAGAAAATGTGCTTCTTCGACATCTCTCTCAGAATCGCTCGTCAGTTGACAAGCCAAAGAACGACCGTGTCGACATGACGTAGGCACTGTCGTTTCATGGCTTATCCACTTACGAGCGATAACGCGCCGCCAGAGCGGCCAGCAGAACAGAGAGAGAGAAACCTGAACGTCGATTACGTGTTTAAAAACTGCACGATATCGGTGTGCTTCTACCTACACTACATCAATCTCGTCCTCGCTGGCCAAGTCTGCTGGCTCGAGTCGTCGGGCATCACGGGGGACACTCAGCCGAGGGCACGTGGAAACAGGTATCCCGTCCTGGGGGCAGACAGGGCGCGAAAATCGCAGACAACGTCGGGTACCCAACCGATCACCCCCGATAACGGCCAGCAGAACAGATAGAGCCGTTTGATGTAGTGTAGGTAGAAGCACACCGATATCGTGCAGTTTTCAAACACGTAATCGACGTTCAGGTTTCACCTCTCTCACCGTATAGACCGAGACGTTGATCCTGATGCGTACATTGAAAGGGCAAAGTTGACGGCGCCTTTTTTTGATCGGCTAGCCGGTCATGTGCGATGAATGAAGTAAAGGCGAGTGGGGTGCGTAGATGATTCGACGGGTCTTAGAAGCGTACTGACCTCACAGCACTGGACACGTCGACTACTGGATGGAACTCTCTATGTTTTGGTTGGACATAGACATCAAAGGCTTGACACGATGCCATTCAATGCTTTGCTCCGTACGATCGACGCTCGATAGCAGAAGGAGTGCCACGTGATGCTTTTGAGGTAGGACAGACGGACAAGGCTTTGATGGTGGTGTCAAGTACGTCCATTATTATGATAACTAACGACTGATAAGTGTGACAAGAAGTACGGCCCGGGTATCGGGTCGACAACTAAAGGGCTCCGTAGAGCCAGGGGCGACGGCAACGAGGTCAGAGACCCTCCTACCGAAGCCAACTACGAGTCAATCATGACCGCTGGCGCGACCAAGTAGACTGGGGACATGCGTACCGCCTGAGCGGAAGCACGTACAACGCGGGTATGCTGCCATATAAGGCAACAAACCCCTTTAGGACCGCTTGCGCGGCCCCCGACGTGGAGTGCGATCACCGAAGTGACTGCGTGGCGTGGAGAACGCCAACCCGCCATATATCTCTCCGAGGAGCTCAACCATCTGCGATGGTGGCTTCCTTCAGCCGCTTGCGCGGCCCCCGACGTGGAGTGCGATCACCGAAGTGACTGCGTGGCGTGGAGAACGCCAACCCGCCGTATATCTCTCCGAGGAGCTCAACCATCTGCGATGGTGGCCCCCTTCAGCCGCTTGCGCGGCCCCCGACGTGGAGTGCGATCACCGAAGTGACTTTGTGGCGTGGAGAACGCCAAACCGCCGTATATCTCTCCGAGGAGCTCAACCATCTGCGATGGTGGCCCCCTTCAGCCGCTTGCGCGGCCCCCGACGTGGAGTGCGATCACCGAAGTGACTGCGTGGCGTGGAGAACGCCAACCCGCCGTATATCTCTCCGAGGAGCTCAACCATCTGCGATGGTGGCCCCTTCAGCCGCTTGCGCGGCCCCCGACGTGGAGTGCGATCACCGAAGTGACTGCGTGGCGTGGAGAACGCCAACCCGCCGTATATCTCTCCGAGGAGCTCAACCATCTGCGATGGTGGCCCCCTTCAGCCGCTTGCGCGGCCCCCGACGTGGAGTGCGATCACCGAAGTGACTGCGTGGCGTGGAGAACGCCAACCCGCCGTATATCTCTCCGAGGAGCTCAACCATCTGCGATGGTGGCCCCCTTCAGCCGCTTGCGCGGCCCCTTGACGTGGAGTGTGCGCTCGCCGCAGCGGCGACACGTGGCGCGGGGTACGCCTCCAGTCCGTAAAACACCCCTGCTAGGGCCGCTTGCGCGACCCGTCGGTCCCCTACGCCCACACCCGCGACTGCGAGTGCAGCGTGCCCGCGTCAGATCTTCGACCACGTCGGCTCCCCAAGGGGAGGATTCCCTCCGACGTGACTGCCCCGAAGGGAAAAAGACTGGCTTGAGCTGAACCGTGAAAATTTGGGAATGCGGACAAGGCTTTGAGCATGCAGGGCTCGCTTCTGTCGGCATTCCCGGATGGGTTAAACAGCTTGCAGATTGCAAATCGTCCGAGAGGCACTGGCACCGATCACAGTATGTGCACGATCGCGTTTTCCAGAACCAAGAACGAGCTCATACTTGTGCAGACTTTTTGCGGCATCGACTTGGCAGCTTTGATTTTCTCCTCCATTACCGATCTACTGCATCGCTCTTCAACACTTCCCAATTTGCATCCTTCAAGCAAGAATGCACAGAGACGGAGACCTCCTACAGGCCAGTAATCAGATTCCCTTACGTTGTACGGGAAGTCCCCCCTTAGTGAAGCCAAGGTTAAAATGGGGAAACCTTTTCTCCGCTGCGCGCGCTACGGGAGGCAAAGCAGCCTGCGTCCCGAGAGGGAAGCAATCCCTTGGCATCTCGCCGCACGGGTAATACCGACTGATATCGACATCTCCGTGCCTTCGTTACTTCCTGCTCTTCACGAAGTACTTCCCCTCGTGCCGACTCGTACGCTGCGCGCGATACCCAGTCCCACGAAGTGAACTCTCCTAAGAACGTAATGACCTATTGAGATCCAGTACCGGTCGGTGCCGTAGAGTAAGCACCAGGCCACGATACTCTTTGCCTCGTGATGGGCCTGGGCACGTCAGCACTAGATTGTGCACCGGGATCGGCCTGAAGAGCAGTGTAACGGGGTGAACCCGTTTCATAAAAATTGATAGAAAGTATCAATTTTTGGGTATTATCCATTTTAGATAACACTCAAATCAACATCGCTCGAAGAGGTGACGCTGTCAAAATATGACCCCCAAGGGTAATATTCGTGGGTGCTCCACTTGGTTGATGTAACGTGTACATCAATCAGGTTTACCCTTAATTGCTGCTAGATGCGCGCAATGGGTGGTGAGCATGAGTCCACACATAAGAGATGGTAGTTTAATATAGTCGGAACAAGTCGAAGATCTTTTAGGTAGGAAAACATAACTATTAAAAACCAGTTCTACCTTATTCCTTAGACAAAAGTCTTCGATTTCGCTACTTGCTTGCGCTTCCTCGCACGTGCACGTCACGTCAAGTGCACCTTGCCTTGTGTATTTTCAACACAAGGTGTGCCCCGTTACACCTGATAGCACCTTGTAGTCCTTTCAGCGACCACACATCTTATCCAACATGAACATGTTGGATGAGGAAGATGGCTTTCACGTCACACCTGAAGGCTTCGCCCATTTGAGTGATCTCAAATGGGCCGCGGTAGGGCGAATGATCTCTACCGTGGGCGACATCGGCGTTAACGCTATGTTGGAATCTCTTGACAGAGACCAACAACATGCCGCTATCGCCAGGTTCATTCACAATGAACTTAGCGCTGAACGAGAGAAATTAGCCTTGCTTCACCAGCAAAACTCTTAACAGAATAAGCAACTGAGAGAACTCGGTGCTCAACAGACAGAGCTGTTGAGACAGCAGCAATTCCATGCTGCTGTGGGCGAGACGGCGCATGCGCGTCGTCCCGTAGTCATGAAGGTTGACATCTCCAAGTACAGTGTAGTCCCGGAGGACTCCCTGTTACTATGATTTGTCGAACTCGACAGAGCCCTAAGGGCTCGTCGCGTCGAAGATGAGCAAATGAAACTCACATTTGCTCAGACCCACTTGGCAGGGCGTGCCAAAACTTGGTCCCTGGGACTCGAGAGTAGCGACCCAAATGTGTTTAGGTCGCTAGATGACTTCAAGTCCCGGCTCAGACAAACGTTTGAGCCGCCACGGGCTGAGTTCAGGGCTCGTTCAGGGCTCGTTCAGAGCTCCTGAAACTCAAGCAGGGTAAGCGT